AAAAAAAAGGATTACCAAAAACTACATCAATTTATGAAATGTTAGAGATGTGGTTGATTAATTATAAAGGGTATAGTCAATTTCAAAAAATAAAAATATATCGATTAATTAACCTCCTTAATTAGTACCCCGTGATTTGAAATACCAACTTAAAACCACTATGTTAGGAAAGAGTTTTTACAATGTCAGCATCTTCATTAAAGAGATGGTTTAGTTTAAACGAATGTTTTATTAGAGTTATAGCTGAGCAAGAAAGTGTAAATTTGTTGACCTCATGTTGGAAAATTAATTCATTCACATTCTTATACTAAAGGAATCTGTTGACTAATTTTGTTTCATCATATTATTCTATTATTTATTCTCAGCCTTCATCTTCTAAGTTACTGTATATAATATAGAACGCAGGATTTGGCGTTTGGGTAAGTATGAAACTAATAATATCTACTACTGGACAAATGAAGTATCAGGAGGTCTAATCATGAAAATATTTTTCAACAACAAGAAGAGGAAGGTAAGTATAATACATATTCCATTCAGTTGAAAAAGATGACGAATATAATAACAGATACAAGGTTGTGGTCAACCTTAATCTTCACAACTACATATTCATTAATGCCTAATGCTACACAGACAACGGCCGCCGTCTGGTTAATTTCTGTGATTTTTCAGACTTGTAAAACCTACTACAACGAATTCAATCAAAACCAAATGGCCTAGCACAAGACAAGACCTATTGCTTGATCAAAATCTTACTTATCTTGTAGTATCACAGCACAAGTATACAATAACTTAGGGGGGGTCTGCAGTGTTTAAGCTTTGCTACAAAAGTCTAAACACACCCAACAGGCCAACACCATCCTGCTTATTTTCCATGCCATAAGAAGCAGCAGAACAACAAAAAAAGACCCAACTGCCATTAATGGCTTGTTGCTTACCATTGTTTTCTTCTCTGCAACCCCCCCAATAGTACGCCTACACAATTTACACAACTTCTCCATCACAATTGAGATATGCATTACTTTTTATTTTAATCCAGCATTATATTCATGAGCCACCACTTCCCATTTCTTTGCTAGAATATTCTCCTCCTCCATAAGATGAGGATGAGGCCGGTGCCACATCCACACCACCACTAATTGATGGAACCAGAGATGATATAGCACTATTGGGGGATGATCCACCAGCCGCCATCCCCAAACCAAGGAAATCAAGAGTAGGCTGCTTAGGACCAAAGCCGGAAGGTGTTCCCATCATTAACTCCTTCAATCCAGAACCTCCATCACTAGGCAGCCCAAGTCCAAGCCCTGCTGCAATAGATGCATTCTCAGAATCTCCTAGCCCCTGACTCCATTGTATATTGTCGTGCTGAGTAGATGATGAAACAATTCCTAAACCACGAAGCAATGAAGTATTACTAGTTGTTGCGCCCATTTGTGCAGCTTTTTGAAGCAGGGCAGTGGCCGACAGAGCAGGCTGTGATGCCAGTGTGCATTGCCTCCGCTCTTGTCCCGCATTTCCAAACACTGAAGAACCATGAGTGGTTGAGAGGCACAGTGAAATTGGGTCATTTGCTGATAGAGTCAGGTCAGATGGGAGTTCTGGACGTGCCGTGACTCTAAGTAAGTCGCTGAATGCATGAGTTTGAGGAGGTTGTAAGCTTCCCGATACAGTTGAAGAAGCAAATAAGCTTGCAAACACATTGCTACTGGTAGTTCCAACACTGCTTGAGCTGCTGCTGCTGCTGCAGCTTCCATTTAAACCCCCTGTTCCTGGTGTCTCCTCAACACTTCGTGCGGGATTTTCTGCTAACTCTGTAAACACAATCAAAATTGAAAGTGAAATAAAATGACTGTAAACACAGTTTCCTTTCTCCAAGCCCACTTCTTTAAACGTACAGAAAAGGGAAGTTAAGGCTTTTCTTTATGAACTTTAGAAGAAAAGACAGTATCAATAATGGGTTCTCTTTCTCTAAACCTACAGCTCTTTTTTTCTAGCTTTTGAATCACTAACCATTCTTTCTCAAAATTGAAATCAATTAAATCTTACAGTTTGAAAGGCACATCTCTAAGAACCTTACTTTTGTCTTACTTTCTAACTTCAAATCTTAGGTCACCGACTGTACTGTGTAACATACATACATCCAGATAACAACAAAGATCAGTAACAGACAAAAGCTACTACACTCCAAGATCTACAAGGAGAGAGAAAAAACAGAGATTTTTTATGACTTATTTTTAACCAAAAAATAAAATCCCAGTCCAACGTATCCCGAACAAAAAGAATTCAAAATTCTCCAATTTCTTGGGCCATATGTTTACCTGAACTCTTAGTCGGCAAAACTAAAGAGGTTGTAACACAAGTAGAATGAGCCGGAGCTGAGGCCGGAGTTGCTGGTTCTGGTGCCACCGCTGTTGATGTAGGAGAATCAACAGCCTGTTTGACTTTAGGTTCCGCTTCTGATTTTACACTCGCTCCCGCCTTACTTTGATTTTGTGGGTGAGTCTGAACTCTGGTCTCCTCTGCCAAAACATCGCAGAACGCCCTGTGGGTGATAAAGCTATCCCTCCTTCAAACAATCGAAAACCAAACAAATTTCACAAGCCGATATCTCCCAAAAGATAAAGAAAAACCCTAAGAAAAAAGAAGACTTGGTCGGAAATTGAAAATGAAGTCATTAGAAAACCTTGAAAACAAAGTCCCACAATCGCATTTGTACTCTCTTGTGCCACAAACTTTGGCGTGAGCTTTCCAATCAGACTGCACGGCGTATTTCTTAGAACACTTATCACATTTCCACTTCTTCTCACCGTGCTTCCTACAAAAGTGTTTCTTGATTCCTGTAAGATCACCCAAAGCTCTAGCTGGATCATGATGGACACATGTCAGTTCAGGACACACATAAACCCTCTTCTTCACTTCTTTAGTGGGTCTCTGCCTTAATTTCCAAGGAAGGTTATGGCCTCGTCGATGAAGCTGCAGATTCTGGTCTCTCTGAAACCCTTTGCTACAAATTTCACACACGAATCGGTTCGTGGCCATAAGGGTTTTCGGAGACAGAGCGATAACCTCTGCATCTGGATCTGAAAAATAAAAACATTAATAACCCGTCAAGTGAAGAAAAATAACAAGTATTAATTATCAGAGAAATATGTTAAATGTTACCTGGCATTCCAGGGAGGTTTCGCTTCTTCTTGGAGTTGGGGATGGAGTTGGATTTGGAATTGGAAGTCTGCTTCTGGTTTTGGTTACCAGAAGAAGAAACACTGGCTTCCCCTGAAGCTGTAGAGGAATTTTCCAAGTCGACCATAGTTGTGAATATTGAAAATTTTTCCTAGGGTTTTCTTTAACATCAAACTACGGGACAAAAAAGAGAAAATCTAGAGCATTTATCGTAGAATTCTGAAGAAAAGTTTTGAAGACAAAAGCTTTGTTTTTTATATATTTATATAGACTATTTTCTACCTAGGGTAATGTTTTTGTTTCAGCTCTCTTAGCTACCAGTCAATCAGCTTTTTTAATTCTTTATTTAAACATACCTACCAGCAGCTCTGAATCGGTCTAGCTTTCTCTGACCAAAACTCACGTTACCCCAAGAAATCAAATGATTAAACCCAAGACTCAGAACCGTCTTTCTTCGTTCAGCTTCTAATTTACTCTAAAAAAAATCTAAAAAGAAAACATCTTAGCCACCCTTTAAACAAACCAGACCAACGCTCAAGATCGAATCAAACGTTTCAAGCGAAATGACCAATCACTGGCTCTACATTTCAGATCGCAGAAAATCTAGCGCGCCTACGGTTAATGAAAATATGAACAGCGTTTGAAAGATTTGATCAGACATCAACAGTTAAAAGTGATACAGAGAGATGGTAAGAGAGAGAGAGAGAGAGAGTTTGCCGACTACTGTGTTTGGTTCCCTATCTCTTTTTATAGAAACTTTAAAAATTAATTAAAAATGGTGTTAAGTTTTGTTTGTGCTAATCAGAATGGTTAAAAGTAAGTAAAGTAAAAAGTGGGGGTTATTGTCAAAGTGGATGGGATTAACCGTGCAATTGTGATTTTAGTACCACATCCGCATGTGAGAAAGCTCTAATACTGTTGAGTAATCTGTCGTTTAGCCAAGTCTTTTTATTCCTTTTGTGTTCCTTCTACTTCATTGAAAAGTCCAACGACTTTAATCTTCATCTATCCTAAACTTCTTAATCGTCACCTATTTTTTTTTTTTTTTTTTTTTTTTTAATGACCAATTTATACGTAATTTAATTAATATATCGAAACCCTGAAATTATTGATAAAATAAGAATTTCAATAACTTTTCCTATTAACAACTAAAGAAAAATTCGAATTGACTAGACTATCTCTTTTCCTTCTTTAATTTAATTTGTTATGTGCATTTTATAATGTTAATGGGTGATTTTGACACCAATTAAACGTACGTAAGAAATGTTGAGCTAACTCAAAAGAGGCACGTGTATGAAGGTATTGAACTGAATAGAAGATGAAGAACGGTGTTTAAAGTGGTTCGGATGCTTAAATAAACGAATCATACGTCCATTAGTATTGTATTAATATATGAGATCAAGTCGCGTTCTGCGAGCTGATTTACAAGAAATTACAAGAGAGAGAGAATATATATATGCTATTCTAGAGAGAAATTAACTAATCCCACAAATGGAAGAGGGATCCTCTATTTATAATGGGATTAATTGAGGTAATGATTACTAAATCAGGGAGTGAGTCAGATTGCCGTGCAAATTCCTAGCGTCTCGTTGATCACCTACTCAGTGATTTACTCGACTCTTGCAAGAATTGGACATGTGGATCGTCTCTAGCCTTTCACCAGCCTGGCGCACACCTACTGCACTACAGGAGCATGCCGCTTACGTCAGCGTACAACGTGGCTACATTTGAATGGTTGCTGAACTTACTTAAGCTCTTACCACTTACGCTGACAAGGCTCTGCGTCGGTCCTACTTTTCCAGGCATAACATATAACAACCATAAATTGGTTAAATCAAAAGAGATAGTTCTCATATATGTATACCAATCATATAAGATATGGTCTTTCAATTTTATTTTATGTTTTTGTGGGATGACATTAAATTAAACCCATATTAAAATATGCCTAAGATTTAATAATATTACATAGCATGACCATGAAATTTTATCCAACTATTAAAAAGGAGAAGTAGTTTATATGTTAGATAGAGAGGTCGATTCTTGATTTTGTGTAGACTTGAAAATCTCCCTAATTTTATGATTATAGCCTTGAATAACAAATAGATTGCTGTCTTTTGAAGCAATTTTAAATGAATTCGAGCCTTTGATCATTATTTTGTCGTTTGTTTCTCACAATCTTTGTCATCTTATTATAGACAAACGGATGAGGAATGCATTTAGAAAATATTTAATAATATATTTTAGTTTTAATTGGAATAAATACAAGCACTTCACTTGGGTAATTCTTAGAAACACTGTAACTACTTTTACTTACTTATGAATAACATATACAAATAAGTGCAAATGTTTCAATATCAGGAGATAAAAGTAGTACTAAACAGAGTAAACAACTTTTTCCCACCCAAGGTTTGCATTAATGACACTTTCCCATATAAAGGGTTTCAAAGTACCACTTTTCAACCCAAAATCTATATTCTGTTAATACCTCAAATACACTTCACTTCTCAATCAGCATTCACTGAGTTATCAAGAGTCAAGGTAAAAGGGGTTTTGTAGATTAGAGGTCATTAGATCGAATGGTGGTGATTAATTGAATTTTAGCAGTCAGAAATCAGTTAAGAACAGAAAACCCTAGTTTTATAGTGGTCAACAATAAAAAAGAAATTAAGTGTCAGAATATGAGGGGTTTTGTAAAGAAAAGACCGAAGGAGAAAGAATTTTCAATGTTAAAATCGACTTTTAATAATAATATAATAATAACTTGAAAAAAAAAAAAAAAGGTATTTTAAAACTTTTTAAAATAATAAAAGTCGTTTACTCGTATTATAAACAGTATACCAATATCAATTTCCAATAAAAGCTACCGCCATGTGGAGTCCTCGATGCTCGTTTGTCATGTAACCCAAAATGTAGATGTAGTACAACTAGTGTAGAAAGCTAGTTGTGTAAACTAAAATCTCTTAAATAAAAACATGATAGGAACAGGAACAGGAACAGGATGGTGATAAAATCATACCTGCTCATCATCACGATGACACATAATTGTGAATAAAGTTTTCAAAGCAAAAAGTAAAAGTAATAAATTTGTGATAATAATAATACATTAATTTGACTAAAATCTTCATGATTATCCCTTTTACAAGTAGATCTTCAATAATAAATTATAATTTAACCCATACTTTAGCCTTCAATGTGATAATACAAAGATGGATTCTGTCGATATGTCCCTCACATGATAATGTTTTTATTATACCATGAAAAAGCAAGTTGAGTATATATGTATATATATATTTTTCGGTATCTTAGTACGTTTATATATATTTTAATTAATCTTTTAAGATTTTAAAGTTTACTGATAGCTAAACTTTCAATGGTTAACCCTATTAATACTTTATAGAGATTCAAACTTAAAACTCATAAATCATATTTTAACTCTTTTACCATAAGTCACCCAACAATAGTGGATGCGTTTGATTCATTATTTTAGATAGGATTTTGAGGAATAATATTGGATAGTTGAATAGGGGAGTATTACGAGGTAAAATTTAAAAATTTATAAAAAATTCCATAAGTTTACTAATTTAATTAAACACCCCAACATATAAAATGACAAAAATACTCCTACCACCTACAGTGCCAGATTCCGGCCACCACCGTCGGAATCTGGCCGAAAAATCACTTTACGACACAAATCGGTCAAATCGGTGTCGTAACGCGTCGTTATGGCCTTTTCTGGCCAGATCCACCACAGATCTGGCTGGAAAAGGCTAGATCTACGGCCTGTTATGGCAGTCAAAGGCCGGAAAAGGTCAAAACGACGGCCATCTTTGACCGTCGTTGACCCTCAACGACGGCCATTTCTTTGGCCGTTGCTTCCAGTCAGATCGGTGAATTACTGGTCATCTCTGATTAGTAATTCAACGTTGTGGCAGATTCTGGCTACCACCGACGGTGGTTATCGGAATCTAGCAAGTATGGATCATGAGGGTATTTTTGTTATTTTTTTAATTTTTTTTCAGGAGGTATTTAATAAAACTAATAACCTTATGAGGTTTAAAAATAATTAAAAAATTAGATAATATTTTTAAAATAATATACTAAAAATTATTTAGAAAATATAATTAAGAATATAGACAGGAATAATGAACCAAACACGGTCAGTAATTTCTAATTAAAAGATAAAAAGAGCGATTGGGGTGCACGTATAGAGTGGCGTACGTGAGTAATATTAAAGAAAGCGAAAGTAATCTAAGCTTAGTTTAAGCAAATGAGAATGACGATAAGAATTAAAGATTAAAGAAATGCATGAACTGGGAATACAACCAAAAAGCCGGCATGAATTTTTCCGCCCACTCATCATGACTTGCATTGACTGGGATTGCCATTCTTTATTTTACTTCCATTTTTTCATTATTTTACTCCTTTTATGGGCCCTTTCTTTTTCTTTTTCATTTTATTTCCACTTCACCATTCAAACCTCACCTCTTGGGGTCTTGCTTTAATCCAATTTTTTTTTTTTTCAGGCCCTCAATTTTTTATTTATTGAATTTTGTATCCTAATTGACTTTGTATTTTTATATTGCTCACTTGACATTCATATTTTTATTTGAATAAACAACCTTTTCCCACCCAAATAATGCCTTAATGACACTTTCCACCCATAGATTTTTAAAATACCATTTTATTACCTAAATTTATATTTTGTTTTTTATTCCGACATCGATGCGACCTTAGACCATCATTATTCTCCTCTCCAATCATCACTTACTAAAACCCCTCAAATCTTACTCCCGTCTACCGTGCTAATCATCGGTGATCGAGCGATTAGAGTTTATGCAACCGCCCCTCCTAAGTAAAATTCCAATCATAAAAAGATTCATCGACCTCCCTTCTTCAAAGCCTCAATAGTTTGGACTGAGTTTATTTTTTATTCGTTGCCAAAATTATAAATTTAGATAATAAAGTAGTATTTTAAAAGTCTATGGATGAGAAAGTATCATTAAACCATTATTTGGGTGGAAAAAAGTCGTCAACTCTTTTTATTTTCATTACTTTTAATTTAAACAAGAGATGGAGAGAATATTGATTAGTAAGTATAATGATTTATATTATTTTTACAAGTAAGAATTAAAATGTTTACATTTAAGGTTTTTGATTAGTTCATAGTAATTGTCAAATTTATCAATAAGCCAAAAAAAATGGCTTCTTTTAGAGAAATAGAGAATACCAAATACAAACCGACCTTAAACTTGTCATGACTAAAATGGAAAGATTACATTACCAACTTTTTATGCCTATTTAAAGTATCTTAATTAATCTGTCTTTCATTTAATTTCACAAGCATAAATAATAGTTTCACAATTATCTACAAAATTAGATCAAGGTAAAGTCCAACAATCTAAACTTATTCCGAAGGGGCATAAATGTAAATAAGTAATGTATTAATTAAATGGGTCATTATCTTATCCTAACTAATCCCTTTAGAAAAGGGATATATTATCTTATGCTAATATGCTTGCATTTGGTATTTCACCATCATTCTTCTTAAAAAGGAAATGTCATCAGATGTTGAAGTCCACCCTTAAAAATAAATTTTCCTTTTTGTCGTAACTTTAAGCTATCAACTGCAATTTTAACTCTTCTTCTTAACCCACTTCCAATCCCAAATAATCACCATAATCTATTCTATCTGAGATATATATATATTTTTTTAATGATCAAGGATATCCAGA